TCTGCGCCTCATTCACAAGGCCTGTCGGTGCCAATTACACTCTCTCTCTCTCTCTCTCTCTCTCTCTCTTTCTCTCTCTTTTACATACTCATTAAACCTGCATCAGCCAAGAATTTTGGGGGAAAACAAAAGCACTGCGGTGAGGAGTTCTCACGTCCGCAGTGTGTGTGTGTGTGTGTGTGTGTGTGCGTGTGTGTGTGTATGTGAGAGTGAGATGTGCTTCCTCTCTGTGCTGTACCCTGAATTCCTGTCTCATTCAGCTCCAAGTTTTCCCACTGTGTGCCCCACTTTAATTCCCACATTCCCACACACACACACACACACACACACTGGTTTTATAGGACCAACAGGGCCAGCATGTCTGAGTTTTATATTAAAAAGTGCTGGTTTACACACACACACACACACACACACACACACACATACAAACGTTTTTGACAGCTTCTATTTTGAAATGATAAAAATTTAACAAAATGAACTTTTCTTTGTGACTTCGGAATAAACTGATGAAATATTATAGTAATATGAACCTTGTACACGTCTTTAAACTTCAATCAAGTTTAAGGACTTTCTAAACATTTTGATCGTCACACAGCAGAGTTACACACTCAGAGTGTTTTATTCCTCTTCTACCACAGCAGTGTGCCAACAATTACACTATTAATATTTCCATTAAACAACTAACATTATAGCAGCTATTTATTCTCTCTCTCTCTATTCTCTCTTTATTCCTTCTCTTTATTCTCTCTCTTTATTCCCTTTCTTTATTCCTTCTCTTTATTCCTTCTCTTTATTCTCTCTCTTTATTCCCTCTCTCTATTTCCTCTTTATTCTCTCTCTCTCTCTTTATCCCCTTTCTTTATTCTCTCTCTTTATTCCCTCTCATTATTTCCTCTCTATTCTCTCTCTTTATTCCCTTTCTTTATTCTCTCTCTTTATTCCCTCTCATTATTCTCTCTTTATTCCCTCTCTTTATTTCCTCTCGTTATTACCTCTCTCCCTTTATTCCCTTTCTTTATTCGCTCTCTTTATTCACTCTCTCTATTCTCTCTTTATTCTCTCTCTTTATTCCCTCTCTCTCTATTCTCTCTCTTTATTCTCTCTCTTTATTCTCTCTCTCTATTCTCTCTTTATTACCTCTCTCTATCCTCTCTCTATTCCCTCTCTCTATTCTCTCTTTATTACCTCTCTATTCTCTCTTTATTACCCCTCTCTATTCTCTCTTTATTCCCTCTCTTTTTTCCCTCTCTTTATTACCTCTCTCTATACCCTCTCTTTATTCCCACTCTTTATTCCCTCTCTTCATTCTCTCTCTTTATTACCTCTCTCTATTCTCTCTTTATTACCTTTCTCTATTCTCTCTCTTTATTCTCTCTCTTTATTCTTTCTCTTTTTTCCCTCTCTTTATTCTTTCTCTTAATCCTCTCTCTCTTTATTCCCTCTCTCGATTCTCTCTCTTTATTCCTTCTCTTTATTCTCTCCCTCTATTCTCTCGCTTTAAATTAATAAGACAAAAAAAAAAGAAATGCCTCTTGTGGTGTTACTGTGAAAAAGTAAAGAAGTGTAAAATCGTTTGTACTGAAGATTTCATAAAACTTAAAGTAACAGCTTCAGCTCTGACTGTTGCACAGCACTGACGCTGGAGACTCCTTCCATACATGTTAATGTTATAGAAAATGAATCAACCCCTTGTGACCAATCAGAATCCAGAACTCATCAGTGCTGTGGTGTCAGAGGCGTTATAACAGTGCAACTTTTGTGAAACACACACTATAACATCAAAGTACAGAGTTTAAGCATTCAGATAAAGACACACAGATTTGATCCTAATGATGGGATTAATCAGAGTATGCACAATGATAAATAACCTGATAAACAGGATGTGTTACATACGGCATAAATACTGCACATTAATAATAAACCCTCATTACAACTCAGAACTTTACAGCTAGCACAAACATCGCTCATATTTTCTGCATCAAATGATTTTACAAATCAAAAACCACTCAGAGAGAAATGACAGTGTGTAAGATGAGAGAGAGAGAGAGAGAGAGAGTGTGGTTGTGTGTGTGAGAGAGAGAGTGTGTGTGTGTGTGTGAGAGAGAGAGAGAGAGAGAGTGTGTGTGTGTGTGTGTGAGAGAGAGAGAGAGAGACAGAGAGAGAGAGAGAGAGAGAGAGAGACAGACAGAGAGTTTCAGTTGGAAAGAGAACAAGGGCAAGAGAAAGCTGAATTGTCGTGTGTGTGTGTGTGTGCGTGTGTGTGTGTGAGTGTGTATGTGTGTGTGTGTGTAGGGGAGGGGGGGTTGTTTCCCACAGTCTCTCTGTTCCCAGAGATTTTCCTCTTTAATCCGTGTCGCAATTAGGAGTGAATTCCTACACACACACACACACACACACACACTCACACAGTGAGATTTGGGTCGTTTCCAGATCAGGAGCAGGGAGGAGAGAAAAAATATCCTCAGAGGGAAAACGGTTTTGCTTCTGTAGTTCTGTGTGTGTGTCTGTCTGTGTGTGTGTGTCTGTCTGTCTGTGTGTGTGTGTGTCTGTCTGTGTGTGTGTGTGAGAGAGAGAGAGATCTTATCTGTACAGCTGCTGGGATTATTCCTCACTGCACACACTCCGTCTGGTTGAAGTGTAGGAGCAGCGAGTGTGTGCAGTGTGGACTGTTATACTGAGGTATCTGTGATGTGGTTAGTGATTCCGCTTGTTGGTTGTTGCAATATTTTCATTATTTGTTGCTGATGTCACAATCAGGTTTCACAGTTAGCGCCAGGTGTAGAAGTGTTTAAGAAGAGAGTAGAGATGTGGAGGTGAGAGAGCTGGACAGACTGAAGGACCAAAGCACCATTGCATCGCTCTCTTTAGGTAGAGCTGAAGCTATCAACAGGTAGTCGCATGGCATTGTGGGTAATGTAGTAAACTATAAACCAAAGAAATAACAAAAAATAGAGAGATATATCCATGAGAGAAGTTTAAACTCATGAACCCAGAATTTCATTATAAAATAAATCTTGGACACGGGTAAAGATCACATGATAAATATAACGATTAATATGCAGATTGTTCAGGAAGGTTCTCTGTAAGCGTAGCAGATGAGCGATAGATCACGTTTCCTGTACAGCACTGTGCATCAGATTAACAATGACATTGGCATTATTTTATTTTAACAAGTCAAAAGTGCAAATTAAAAGCTTGATAAAATCGTTTACATCCCGCGTACGCATTACGATTTCATTCAGTTTTACAAACTGTCAGAGCATGATCTAGAGCAAATAAAATGTAAAATAACAGTCTGCGCTGGATCAAGTGCTATTCTATTCTCTGCGCTGAATAATGAGTGTGGAAGCACTTTTGTTCAATGAAACCAGTGATTAATGTGACCATTACAGCTAGAATTACTTCAAATCTCACTCACATCTCATCATATTAGTGTTTCATTTTACATTTTGAAATTGTCTCTGGTTTTCATGCTACATCATATTACATTTGACAGCAAAAGACAGCAAAAAAACCCCAAAAAACTTGTATTTCCTTCTCCTGTCTGTATTTTCTATCCCTGATTTTTTAGGGTTTAAATGTGAATGTTTGTGTTTTTAAGCTGTCGCTGTGGGCGTCGTTGTGGGCGTCGCAGTGGGGAGTGTTGTGGGCGTTGTTGAAACACAATCCTACTCTAGAAAAATAGGGAGGTGTGAACTACAGGCAGGTGATTTTAATAATCTGAATGTGGAGCTCAGAAAATCCACTTTAGCAGCTGCGTAACCCGACTCTGAGTGTGTCTCGATCAGCTCCCCAAAGTTCAGTATGTACTGAATCAGTATATGGTGTACACGAGTTGGGGAACTGGTAAGGACCCTGTGTGTGAGAGTGTGTGTGTGTGTGTGTGTGTTTACCCTTTACAGTCAGGAAACAATGCAGAGGTTTCACATGGAAAATGGCCAACAACCCTGAACACACACCTGTCCTACACACACACCCACACACCCACACCCACCCACACACACACACACACAGAGCTTAAAAACACTGATACACTCATTCCATTGGCTGACACACTATCTTCACCTGACTCTGTGTGTGTGTGTAACTGACTGGTAGTTTCGGTCAACCCTCCTGGCAGCCACTGTGTGTGTGTGTGTGTGAGAGAGAGAGAGAGAGAGAGAGAGAGAGAGAGAGAGATGAAACTCTTTCTGTACTTTCGGTTGGCACCTGGACGCACACACACACACACACACACACACAAATGAACACACACATAACTACTGAATATTCATCTACATTGTGTCCACTCCTGAATGTTGTTCAGTTTGATTATTATCAGTAGCAGTAACCATGGCACTGTTCAGAAGCATTTTGCAATAGTCTTTAACTCATTAAGGTCTTTATTCTGCATTCAGTTTACATTAAATTACAATTCCAGCACTTAGCAGACCCCTTCATCCACAGTAACCTACATTCATCTCATTTATATAACTGAGCAGTTGAGGGTTAAGGAACTTGGTAGTGCTGGGATTTGATCTCACAACCTTCCCATCAGTAGTGAGTGTCGTAAGCACTGAGCTCCTCCTAACGCGCATGTCAGTACTGCGCCGTTTAGTACATCGCCGCCTCGTCTTCATCTTCTGTTAGCAATAATCTAGCCAGCTAACTGTGATGGTGATGTATACAGTGCCCTCTATAGGCGGTGTTATAGATGGTTAGAGATATGAAGCCAGTACTTTAAAGGTAGGAAGTGCTACTTTCGATGCTTCGCTGATTTGATGCTATGCTCCGTAAACTGTGAAGTAACTCCAGGTGAAGTAGAGAGGTTGAGGGGGCGCTGTCTTTGGTGTTTCCTGGTTTCCGGGTTGGGAATTACAAGTTACGTGCTCTTCTCAAACACTTGAATAGTCTTCAACATTAATATTACTCACTGTAGTGAATTAATAATGAAAGCTTCCGAAATCACGGCGTGTAAAATGTACACAATGTCCCTTTACCCCAAATACAGTCGCTAATTCAGTGGAGCTCATTGGTTAAAATGTTGGATTATTGATCAGAAGGTCATGAGTTCAAATCCCAGCACTACCAAGCTTCTACTCCTGGGGCCCTGAGTAAGGCCCCTAACCCTCAACTGCTCTGTTGTATAGATGTAAATCAATTGATACACGTGTTTGTTTGTTTTTTCCGTCGCTTGCTTCCTTAATGTTGCACTAGAGCAAAAAAACTTGGGACTTTTAAGAGTAACCTCATCACACGGGGATCATTACTATCATTAGTAATGTCTGAGAGGTGAGATAGATAACCTGATGTTAGACGCCTTTAAAATCACCATTTCCTCTGTCTGTGTGTCCTCGAGCTACTAGATCTATAATGTTCCTAATACAGGAACTTTTTTTCTGAACCCAGGATCTTCAGCCATATTTCCACTGGAGGAACCAGATTGGAACTTTTGAGTAGGTACCTTTCTGTGGACCGGATTGTAAACATTAATGTGCGGTGCTTCACATCATGTTGCCTTCGTTTGTTGATCATTTTGTGCTGCACGTTATGAAAGTCATCTTTTAAAATTCAAGTTACATTTCCTAAATGTGGTACAGACCGAAATGTTTTTTTATGCCTGATTTGAGTCCTCAGTTTAAATAGTGTAAGCTGAAATGATCTGGCTGATATTTTTCACTGTGGTGAGGACAGGAACTCGTCCAGGAACTGTGACGTTTCTGGAAAGTTCCACAACTCTTCAGTATCTTCTTCGCTGCCTGACTTCTCCACTTATTCGAAATCCCCTTAAAAATGCAGAGGGGAAAACCTGTGTGTGTGTGTGTGTGAGAGAGAGAGCGGCATAAGACACAGGAGTGACAATTAAGTTCACTCCTCTACATCTTCAATCTTCTCTCACATTGTCCATTTTGGCGGGAAACGAGAAACACTGAATGGCTACCTCAAGACCCCCCATGACACACACACATATATAACACACACACACACGCACACAGAGGTTTTCCCTCCGCATTTTTAGGGGATTAGGGCCATCTGCAGACCCTTGAAGAACAAAAAAAGGGTGTTCCTGTGGTGGCTGAGTTCTCCACGGTGATTACAGGGTTATCACACACACACACACACACACACACACACACGCACACACACTTGTCATGTCATTTAAAACAATACAACAGAATGTACACAATAGAAAGTTGTGCGCAAAAGTTTGTACACCCTCCATTGACAAACTAATTCAGTTTTATGTATGTTCACTTGTTATAAGTTTTTTTTTATTACTATTAATAGTGAAAACTAAATAATACTTCTTTTGAATGATCTATAAACGCAAACTTTTATTTCACTTTTATTCCTATTTTTTCAGGACCTTTCTGATTTCCTCATTTAGTTTAAATTTTATTTTCTTTCTCTCAAATACTTCACTCCCATTTCTGATCACAAACACTGATATCTATTTATTTTCTTTCTCTATGATTTTTTTTAAATAACAGAGTAAACATGTGTTGTAAGTCATTAACGTCCTTAATGAGCCACTTTAATGCAGATTAACTGCAGTGTGATTCGGCAGGTGAGGGGTGTAAACTTTTGTGCGAGCTGCTGGGTGAGACTGTTTCTGTGCTGTTGAGTCTGTGATTAGGTTGTAATCAGAAAACACCACTGAGTTAACAGTAACAATGTTTTATTTATAGAACAAACTGTACTCGCCTCTGATTGGCTGAGAGGTGTGTGGTGTGTTTTATATACATATGTAACAAAGAGACTTCATTGATTTAAACGTGTGTTTAATCTCAGTCACGTGTACACAATATTCTCTCTTCTAAAAACATCTTATTTACAAGACACACACACACACACACAGAGATGAATATTGAGATGTATGTTGTGTGTGTAAATATATATATATATATATATATATATATATATATATATATATATATATATCCCTCCCGGATTATGGGCGTGTTCTCGGCTCGGGTATTAAATATATTTCTCTGACATCTTACACATCTTTATTTAAACACACAGCAATGTGCAGTAAATAAAATCAGCTTAAAAATAAACATCTGCTAAGTTTCAATAAACAACAACACCACCACCACCGCTGTAATAAAAGTATTAAAGTGGTATGAAGTTAACAGAGGTGCAGTGAAAGTGCTTCATCATTCTGTCCTTTCTATCGGTTTAACGTTCGCCTGCTTGCATGGAACTAACGCTAGCTTCATATAGAAACACACCTCGTAAACGAGGGTGTGTACGGCGTTACTGTTAACACTCCCGGGTGGGTGGGTGTGTGTGTGTGTGTGTGTGTGTGTGTGTGTGTGTGTGCGCGCACGCTACATATCGTCTGCATTCATTTGGTTTCAGCTCCCTCCTTATCCTCAGTGCAAATGTACATATATGATATATTTAACCCGTGTGTGAATACAGACATCACGCTACACCTCCTTCACTTACAGCTGATCTCTCAACACCCTGAGGCATCAGGTCTCACTACACAGCTTCATGGAGACACACGCTTAGGTAGTCTCTCTGTGAGGATTGCCTTTTGTGTCCCTCTCTTTCCATGAAGATAAACATCTTGATGTGTCTCTCTCCATGAACATATCATGTCTTTCCATCAAGATCTCATCGTGTCTCCCTCTCTCCATGAAGATCTCATGGTGTCTCTCGCTCCACGAGGATCTCATCGTCTCTCTCTCTCTCTCCATGAAGATCTCATTGTGTGTCTCTCTCCATGAAGATCTCATGTTGTGTCTCTCTGTGAAGATGTCCTTGTGTGTCTCTCTCCACGAAGATAAAGATTTTGCTGTGTCTCTCTCTCTCTGTGTATCTCCAGGAAGTCCAGTCTCACTCTGTTCTGCCTGTAGTGTATGAGTGTCAGGTGTGGAGGGTGCAGGGGATCTGCAGGTTCTGCTTGGCGTGCTCGTACACTCTCAGGAAGTCCTTGTACCTGGGTGCGCAGGTGAGCCAGGCCTCCCCGAAGTGGGCGTGTCCGGTGAAGAGGAAGCTTCCGGAGCCGGCCCGGACTCCGCAGCGCAGCAGTGTGCGTATCTCTCCGGAGTGTGTGAGGCGGCCCGCGCTGGAGAACAGAGGCCACTTCTGACGGTACACACGCGTCGCGCTCACCCTGATCACCGACATGCGCTGCTCCGAGTCCGCTTCCACTGCACGGATATTCCCACGCACCACTACACACACACACACACACACACACACACACACACACACACACACACACAGAGAGATACGTCTTATTCATCTGCTTTGTGTGTGTGTGCTTTCAGTGAGTGTTGTGTCTCTTGGATCATGAGCAAAACTAAAAAAAGTGTGTGAGACTCACCAAAGTCACTGGTGCACACTGCCATCAGCATCTCTGTGTCGTTACACGGCCTGCACACTCCTAACACACACACACACACACACACACACAGGGGAAGAGAAACATTTAGTTTCTTTCAAACACGGTGTGTGTGTGTGTGTGTGTGTGTGTGTAGCTCCTGAACAAAAGCCTTGTCCCTCAGCTGACCATCCCCCCGTTACCACGGATACGGCTCGTTCATGCGGTATGTTGAAAGGACTTGTCCCCTCTCCATACTGAGCTTTTGTCCTCTACTCTCTCTCTCTCCATCCATCCCCCTCTCAATCAATCGCTCCATCTCTCTCTTTCTCTCTCTGTTCCCACAGTGTGTGTGTGTGTGCGGGGGTATTGATTGTAGGAAAATGTAGTTGCTACAGTAGTTAACAGGTTTATGGAGGTGTGTTTGGGTGAAGATGATTAAACCTTGTAGGGCGGTCATCTTGTACGACCTTTTATCCTCCATTACAAATGTGAGCGATCATCCTAACTGCTTAAATCAACGTAGAATTAGACGTCTGAATCTTCCGGTTTCGCACCGCTCACCTTCTTCTGTATCCGCATTGGTGTCCAGAGAGTTGACGGACAGCCGCGCCGTCCAATCCCCTCTCAGCTCGTAGCGGAAAGCCGCGATACGCCTGCTGATGTCGCTGTGGGGCGTGGCCTGCAGGAACAGGGCGGGGCTTTCCCCAGGAGTGATGCTGAAACAGCGAATATGGGAGGGACCAGCCGTGTCGCTCACTAATAGCTCCAGGACTCCGCCTCTCTCCAGGTAAAGCTGGGCGCCGCCCCACTGAGGCTCCGGCTTGACGCAGACAGACGAGGGCATCCCACTGACCCCGCCCACTCCGTGTCCAGGTAGGTGGGGCAAGAGAGTGAGACGCAGAGCTCCGGTTGGGTACAGGAACTCGACGGAGCCTTCGGCGCAGCGCAGGAACACCTGTTCGACATCTTGTTCCGGCCGAGAGAGACCGCTACACAGCACAGAGAGAGAGAGAGAGAGAGAGAGAGAGAGAGAGAGAGAGAGAGAGAGGGTTTAGAGTCATTTAACTAAACACGTGATCATGCACAACCTGACAGCTGTTAAGGTGTCAGTACTGCATCCACACGGTTCCTGCAAATGGTGTTCATTCGTCTCCTGCAGTTTAAACTCCCTCCCCTCGCCCCCTGCAGGCCATCACTGTTAGTGCACCGTCCTCTGCGTGCACTGAGCTGTGAACGTTACAGAGACTACATTTAAACTCAGCAAAGTGCCTACTAATTAAACCGTAGCGCCGTTTACAAATGCGCATGCGCGCGCTGGCCCTGTTCAAAACGAGCGCGCGTCAGCGTTCTGCTGCGCGAGCGCACTTCTGGCTCTTTAAACCCCGTGTGGACAGTAACGGAATCCAGCCAAAGCTTTTCTTTTCTTTTTTTTTTTTAACGAATCCGAGCCTTTAGTACAGAATTCAATTATTTGACCGCTTTTAAATACACAAATTCTAACATATAAAGTCATTATGAATAAAGCGGAATGTGTTTACTACGGATAAAAAGAATAAGGAATGTTTATTAGTGGAAGACGGCGGTGGAAAGGCAGCGCGCACTACGGCTCCGTCCCAAAACACATACTAGTGCACTAAGTAGTGCACGTGCCTGACTGCAGCGTCCGCACTGCCACGCGCATTAACTAGTGTGACAGTATGCGATTTGGGACGTGGCCCAAGTTTTCTTTTCCCTGAATGGGAGATTA